ACCTAACTACACATTCTTCACAACAAACATTGGTTGCTCGTTGCCTAATTACCGTATCTCTGTCCTGCTCTACTTACTAAGCTTCCTGATTGGCTCATCACATTACTTCCTGTTTTTAGTGTCCCCACTCTCCAAACTTGAGATAAGATCTTCTCAGATAAACTACAAAATTTCCCTGGGAATTCTACCGTTCCCCAGGAATGTTTAAAGCAAGAGGTTAAGCATGCAAAGTAGAACTATCAGAATGTGCCTGGTGAAAAGGAGGAGGAAGAAAGACTAACTAACTATCCCCCACCCAGTTTAAGGAGGAAGCTTCTGTTCTCAACACAGTGAGGCATAAAGTTTCACCTGTCTAAGAGCGGTGCAGAAATAGGCAACTGGTTGCCCTTCCATCAGTCCCAGCCAGCATGGCCGGTAGTCAAGTAAGATGAAAGGTGTAGTCCAAAATGTTTAGAGGGTACCATGTTAGCCAGACAAGAGTCCAAAACACAAGCCCTCCACCCCTCAGCACTGAGACCTGCTTCCTCTGACAGTCTCGAGAGTCTAAAGTCAGGATGTTAACTTGTCATCTGGTAATTGCAAGACTGGCTACCTCGGTCCGTGTTGCCTGCTATCCCACTGGGTCTGGGCACATGTGGAAGGTTCCCCAGCCAGCTAGTGAAAGAGGCTTTCATGGTTGGAGTGGGAAACAGGTCACCCACATGGCCACCCATTTGTGGGTAAGTTCTTTTGCAGTAGTCAGGAAGCACTCGTGGTCCTTGGTGAAGGCAGCCCACAACAGGTGGTCTTGTTCAGGATTATTCACTAATGTTATCAGTGCCTGGATCACTTGAGTGCATCTTGGTGGAAGATTTCCAGTTGTGCTGATGATTGGCAAGTATACCTGACCCTTCCTTACCACATTTGGATGGTAGCCTTGAAAGTTACCTGGGATGTGGGGGCTTAAAAGGATACTCACATAGCAGATATCAGTTTAGACTGCACCTTTATTGTATGGAGGGTCATTTGGTACTAAACTTTCTTTCTAACAGAGGACATTGGTCACATCCATTTCAGTTATCCCAGGAGCAGGTATAAGTTCTCTGCAAGTCTAATTTTACGGATCACAGTTGCCAAATACGTTTTGTAAGGCAAATGTAATATTGGTTCTGATTGTACTGTGGCAGAAGAACTCATGGTGATGTTCCCAAATTTGTGAATATAGCTACTGCAAAAAGCTCTTATATCAGCTTTGTACCTCATATTGCTTTGTGTGATCTGTCCATAATGTCTGCCATTCTATTTCTCATTTCTTACCCACCATTTCCCCTCATTTGACTTTCTAAGCTTCTTTTGTGGGGAGGGAGATCGTTTTCACTGTGGAAATCAAGAACAATATTTTCAGGAAGAGCTGGAGTCAGCTGAAAAACATGCTCTGTATGTTCCAAAAGGCAGAATTTGGCAATACAAGAGGAAGCTCATTTAGGGCTGCCTAGTGAGAGTCGTTAACAAATCCACTAATAAGTTATGGGGATTGGAGTCACATTTACTCTGCTACTTGATTTGAAAAGTAGTTATCATGAGAACCAGGCTGTTTTTGTGCTGACTCTGATATAATACACCTGTTAAACCTTCTGATGCTGGGATTGAGAATTTGTACATGTGGTGTACTAAATACGTGCAACAAAACACAGCAATGGGGTAGTGAACACTGTTCTTGTTCTGCTAATCTATGCTTTCATATAAGCTTTATTAGGGCAGAATTCTCCAATTTTCATGGAATTGGTTGCCTTTGATTATTGGATCAGCTTTTCGTTATGCTTGTGTGAGACGGGAAGAATTTGGAAGCCTTTTTTGGTCCTGGGTTCATTAATTTCCACAAGGGAGAGGCCAGTTTCACAGCACTCACAGCTTTCTCAGTAACTATTCTCTATCAGTACTTCAGGGCCCAGCTATATGCACATGGTTCTTGTCCACGTCTTGAGGGTACCACCCACACCAGCAATGGCACTCCTAATGGAGGTCTGACTCATATGATCAAAGATCCAAATAATTGTCATTTTTACCCATTACCAATGTAACAAGGAAACAGTTGTGTACCAGTTGTTGGCATCCATCTGCCTCAAGTGACAATAGAGTGTGCCTCCAGGGGAGGGCTGAAATCAAACTACAGCATTAGCAGCACTAAAGTGACCTCCCTGTGTGTATGGAGGGCCTAGGCTACCCAGACGACAATACCCCCCACCACCACCTCTGGGCCTCGCTGACTTGATCCAAAGGAAAGGAGAGTAGTACATTTGGCACCAGCTTGGCTGCAGGAGTTGCCTGAAGGAGGCGCACAAGGCCTCATCCAATTGTCTTAGGAATTCCCCCCGGATTTGTGTAGGGCTTGCTCCTTAGCCTTTTCTTCTTCTAAATATATCCTGCAAGGCAGTGGAGGTTTAGGATCTGAGCTTTCCTTCTCCTAAACGGGATACCTAACCAGGTTGATGAGCCCCATCTGCCCCTTGTGCAGCAGTAATCATGCTAAAAAGGTAGTGTGTACATTTTGCAGACGTGATCCAAAATGTGTATTAACTAATGGGAACAGATCCCTACAGTGGCGTAGCGTGGGGGGTGCAGGGGGGCCGGCCGCACCGGGCGCAACATCTGGGGTTAGGGCAAATCCATGGGTTAGGGGGCGCAAATCCACAGGTTAGGGGGCGCAAATCCACAGGTTAGGGGGGGGCAAATTACTTGCCTTGCCCCGGGTGCTGACAACCCACGCTACGCCACTGGATCCCTAGCACGCGCTTTCAAGTAGAAGAAAAGAGAGTGTTTTTATTTTTAAAAAATCATGACAATTATTTCTTCCTCCTTCGTTGTGTCCACATTCATTGTGTGCAAACACATGTTACATCTGAAATTACTACACTATGGGTTTTAATTAAATTTTCAAAAAATTATGAACATCAGTAATGCTGTTTGATAAAACAATCTTCCACTAATACAGTGGGTTACATACTCATAAATTTGTTAAAGTTTCTCCTTTACCATAGATTTACTATCAGTAGTATGTTAGCTGCTGTACAGAAGAAACATGTTTCCTGTACAGTAGGTATGCAATAAGTATGTGGCAAGAACAAGAATAACAGGCAAGAATAAAGTGATAATGGTACTTAGAATAAGCTTGATTTTATAAAGATGCTACTTGGTTCAGTGGTACCTCTGGTTACGTACTTAATTCATTCCGGAGGTCCATTCTTAACCTGAAACTGTTCTTAACCTGAAGCACACTTTAGCTAATGGGGCCTCCCACTGCTGCCGCACCGTCGCCACACGATTTCTGTTCTCATCCTGAAGCAAAGTTCTTAACCCGAGGTGCTATTTCTGGGTTGGTGGAGTCTGTAACCTGAAGCGTATGTAACCTGAAGTGTATGTAACCCGAGGTACCACTGTAGATGAGTCTTTGGATCAGATACTGATTTTCAGAGTAGAATGGGGGAACTAACAAAAACTGATGGCAAATGTCAAGGAAAAGGAGTTGCATACAAGTGGAAATGGGAGGAGGGAACAAACAGGCTATTTGTGGGCCATACAAATTAAGTCTGAGAAAAACTAGGGCAAGAAACCCAGACAGGACTGGAGAACAAACCTTAAATGTGTAAGGACTAAGTTGTGGAGCTGTCAACATAGGTGTTTCTGACAACTTTATTATACAGTTTTGGTGGATGCATTCACCCAAACTGTATAATGAAGTTGCCAGAAACACTTGCGTTTTTATGTGGTTGGCCACTGTGAGAACAGGAAGCCAGATGAGCATTTCATCTGATCCAGCAGGGCTCTTCTTGTGTTCTAAGTAGAAAGACCTGAGAATAGCTTAGGCTTAAGTCTTGGAGAAGACCTTCCAAGGCTGAAAGTGTCATGGCCGTTTTTGTCTCTCCTAGCTGAGTTTGTCTAATTGCCTTTTAAATTCACTGGCCATAATATGTTGTGGCAGAGTGTTCCATATTTTTTAAGCCGCATGTGAAGTGCTTTCTTTTGTCTGTCCAAAATATGCCGCCAATCTGTTTAATTGGATGACCTCAAGTTCTAGTACTCTGGAACAAGAAAGGGGGACTTTCCCCACAGTAAAGGTAAAGGTACCCCTGCCCGTACGGGCCAGTCTTGACAGACTCTAGGGTTGTGCGCCCATCTCACTCAAGAGGCCGGGGGCCAGCGCTGTCCAGAGGCACTTCCGGGTCACGTGGCCAGCGTGACAAACGCCGTTTACCTTCCCGCCAGTAAGCGGTCCCTATTTATTTACTTGCACCCGGGGGTGCTTTCAAACTGCTAGGTTGGCAGGCGCTGGGACCGAGCAACGGGAGCGCACCCCGCCACGGGGATTCGAACCGCCGACCTTTCGATCAGCAAGCCCTAGGCGCTGAGGCTTTTACCCACAGCGCCACCCGCGTCCCGCGTTCCCCACAGTATGTGTTACTATATAAACCTCTGCCACCCCCCTGTCTTTTTTTCTAAACACACAAGCCCCAGACCACCCAGTCTTTCCTCATAAGGAGAGTGCGCCAAATCCTTAACGATTTTGGTTGCTGTTTCCTGCATCTTTTCCAGCTCTTTGATTTGATTTGACTTTTAAGGTGAGGCAACTCCATGTTCTCTTGTAGTTGCGGCAATGGGCAGTTATTGGACTTCCACTGAAGTGAATGGGCAATTCTTAAAACATACAGGATCGCTCTCTTGCGCAAGAAATCACTGCACTCTTGACTATTTCCTTTCTCTGCCTGACTGAAAAAAGGAATACACACACACACACACACACACACACACACGTGTGCATTGCTTGGTACCCATGAATGCTTTTCCCTGTTTGCTCCATCAATAAGTCTAACCTCTTTGACCCGCAAGTGGGCACTGCTGGATAAAATTTATGCAAATAAGAAGATAATAATAGTTGACCACAGGAAGGGCATTTTCAAATGGGAAGGGTGAAAAAATATTTCAGGAGCATCATTTTTCTTTGTGTATTTGTGTGTCTTTTTCAGGTCCCTATTATAATACCGTGCCACAGAGTGATTTGCAGCGGTGGACAGACTGGCAACTACACAGGAGGAAGTCATCTGAAAGAGTGGCTTTTGTCACATGAGAAGCTTCAGAAGGAAAAGTTAGCATATTGATGCAGTTCAGGCACAGCTGTTATTCAGCCAAAACACATAACCAAAGATACTTGGCTTATAACAAGCTTTCAGAACACACAGTAGAATTCAGGAAAATGGTAAATATTTGAGTGACATATAAATATAATACAACATCCGAAGCGAAATGTGTGGTGGCACTACTATATTAAAAAAGCTGAATATGTCCTAAGGGATACAGCTTGTATGGCCTTTCTTGTTTTTACATTTTACAGCAGAATGAGTACAGCGGACTGTGCCTGTTGTGCATGTATTTTGTTCCCATCTCTAGTGCTGTTTTGTTCTATTTTTAATGTCCATTAAAGCAAGGATAAGGGAGTGGGAGGGGCATGGCAAATGTTAGATGCAACTGCCCCTCTAAGGAAGCATCTGGCTCGCAGAGGGGACAGCCGGGAATCCACAGCCTTCGCGTGTATTCGGAGAGCCAAATTAAATGCATAAGCTTCAACACACACCTCCCCCTGTTCCTGCCTGGATTTGTATTTGTCCAAATTGAAAAGCTTGTACCTCTGCCAGGCTTGGTGCCCAAGATTCTCCTGTTTTCTTTGATGTTTGAACTGTTGAAATGATGTTTTACGTAAACAGTTGTTAATGAAACGCACTGAAAACCCATTCAAAAGGAAACGGCTATTGAATTGCCTATTCACAGCTTTTCTTTTCAGATCATTGTAGATGGCTTAAAAAGATATGAATAAAAATATTTTGTCTCCATTAGCATTGCTTAATGTAGGCAGAGAAAACAGATGCTGAAAAGCAGTTTAATGACAAAACAAATATTTTTATAAAAATTATGCTGCTGTGTTAGTTACCTTTTGCCATAATTTAGAAGTATATTTTTTAAAAAAATATTTCTGATCAACAGCGCTTCTGGTTTTTTTCTTAGCATTTGCTTTTTTAAAAAATTTTCACATAGGTTATACAGTACTCGGGATTATAAAAAGCAAGAGCTATGCATTATATTAAACATAGAATGCTATCCAGAAAAAATATAGTCAGCCAAAGGACACTGAAACTAAACTTTCTGGTTATTTAAAAAGAACTCAATGTAAGTAAAATATTACAAACCACCAGAAACTCAAATTTTCATTGAGGGAATCATAAATAGTAACACAGTAATACTGATTTTTATATTTTTATCACATTCTTATATATATATATGTTGCTTTAGAAGGCTGATTGCTAACAAAAATTATTGTGTTAGGTTACTCCATTAATGTTGTGTTACTGAGATGTTAGAATTACTTTATTAAAACCTGTTCTGCATGTGCAAGTTGTCTATGTATATAAATATAATACAGTATATGATATACGGAGAAAATAAACTATACCCTACTGTACAATATAAGGCTGTATTTTATCAAGGGTTTCTGGTGGCAATATAAACCATGAAAGGAAGGCTCAAGTGGTTTGTACATGTCAGCAAGAGCCCAAGATAAAAATATAGCCTTATAATATGTATAGTTTGAGTGTATTCTTTTTTCCCTCCCCATATGTGAATACCAGCCAAAGGAAATCACAAACTTTCACCTTTCTTGCAGATATTTCCATTCCAGGTATTTCTTTCTAATAGACACTTACTTGCCCATCTCAAAAAATAATTCATTCATCCCGTGAAGAATGTACCACTGTTTACCACTGCTGCTATTTAGCATACGCTTAGTTTCAGCTGTATGCTGGGGACATGGAAGGTATAAATAGAGGTGTTCAGGGAATAACAGAATCAAACTGTAAAGCATTTTTAGACTAGATTACCAGACTCCAGTTTTACATTCAGAGCATTTCAGTCAGTCAGGGGGGGAAAAAACTTTATGTGAGGCCTTTTCCTTGAATGTCCTCAGAGTACTTCAACTAATGGGAACCCCAGTGGAATAATTAGGTCTCCCTCTGGCTTGCATGCATTGTGTGTCAGAATCTAAAAACCCGACCATCCTCTGACAGATTGATGATATCTTTGCAATATCAGGTGTTTCCTATGGTCTGCTCTTTGTGATTTTAAAACCGAGGGTCAGGTTTTCGTACGCCGCTCATGTATACATTTTTACATTTCCCTAACATAGCAGCTTATCTAGTATAACATTCTGCTGTGGAAAATACAGCTGCTTTGTGGAGAGAGTGAGCCTTACCTGATGTGCACACAGTATGTAGAAGTAACATGTTCTGTTACAATTTTGTCTGGCACAGCAAAAGCATTACTCAGGAAACCATTTTTCTCTTTGAAGAGGGGTGGGGGGAGTGGAAGTCAATTTAGACACAAAACAATAGCCCGAAAGTATTGCCGGGGGGGGGCAGGGAGGAAGCATTTCTGGAAAATGACAGAAATTCATTCGCTGCAAAAGGCAGAGGTTTTGCCGTCTGACTAACATATTTTCATGAGCTGGCATCTCCTATGTTTATTTTTGTGTGTTGTAGGCCAAGCTGCTTATTCTTTTGTCGGCGTATGTTTCCAACAGAGGGCACTATAACTCAGAAGAATTTAGATTCGTGTGTTTTACAATGTGTTTAGGAGATGCTCATTCACTACTTTCTTTCCCTGCTGTTTAAGAATGAATTTGAAAATGAACAGCCAAGCTGAAATCTCTGAGCTGCCTTATTTGCCGTGCTTCAGACTGTCTGCCTCAGGAATTAGCTGTCTAGAAGTATTACAGGCCTGCAATCTTCATCCCATGTACGTATTGTGAAAGGTGCTGTAGTTACATAGTAAGATGAAGAATGGCCTTCCTTTTGCCAGGGATTTCCGAGATTGCTAATGATGCCCAAACTACAACCTGGCGTGACCACTAATGAAGAGGGCTGTGATAGTAGAACCTCTAGGGGGTTCTCATAGAAAAAGAAATGAGTCCATGCTGCTGCTTATGTGTGATCTTAGCATTCTTTCTACGTGCTGATAATGCTCGTGCCCTTGTATGATGTCTTAATAAGTGCGTAGTATCCTTAATTTGGCGTGACTGCTCCTCACCATAACGAAATACTTAGCAGAACACAACCAAGAATTTTGCAGGCGACAAAATGGCATTTAACGCACCTTCGTTATCTTTGGCCGTGCAAGGACCTGAACTGAGCACATAACAGCCTCGTACACCACTGTGCTGTAATAGTAGCAACACAACCAGAACAGAAACACTGGCATTTTTTCCGGCCTCCTCCTGTGGTGAGTTTGCTGGTATAAAACCCATTGTTTGTCTCTGAGGGTTTTCTCCGTCCTGTCATAAGTCTTGATATATACCCTGAGGTTTCCTACTGAGGAACGAAGCGATGGCAGCGTGGTTCAAGCTGGCATTGTCTTATGTGGCTTTAACTACAACTTCAAGAAGAAACCCAGCAAGGAAACACAGTCACTTGGAATAGTCATGTGCTATGTGCTATGACCCTCAAGCCTAGTTAGAGGGTCACAGCACAGTTTATGAAATACATATGTAAACTTGGTTGTATTTAAAAAAAAAAATACCCCCAAAATGAATTAAAGAAAACTCTGGAAACAAGAGAGCTATGTTCCTTTTACTTGGAATTGGGTTCCACTGACCTATCAAGTTTCCTTCCATTCAGCCTTGCAGTGCTTTGAACTGCTGACATTGAGACACTGTGCAGCCAGGCACGACAGCTGGCTCGGCAGCATCTAATACCAACACATGCTGTTTTAGCCCATTTCCAGAGACTAAGATAATGAAAGATTCAAAAATAATATTTGTTTTGGTGGAACTACATTTATAATGAAATAGATGCCCTTGACCAAGGAAGAAGCTGGATTTTGCAATGGGTCATTTACCCACTTCCCTCTGTTCAACTCATAGAAAACGTGTGTCACATAAAAACTAAACCATGTGGAAATGTGTGGGTTTTTTGGCCAAGAATATAGTTGCCCTGTATCATACTGCCCTGCAGGGTTGTTTGGGAGACAAAAGATGGCTCTGGGCTAATATTTTACATGATAGATTTTTTTTGCATCCGACAAAAGGAATTTGCAAGTCAGAATTTCTAAGCGCCTCAAAATTCATTCAATCAGCATCCGTCCCAGGGCTCATGATGCAGTGAAATGCGCATGATGCAGTAACCTTGCTGAATCTAAGCAGGTGAAACCACCTGGCAGCCCATTGAGCACTGTCCTCAGCTACACAGTGGAAAAAAGTCGGATATAAACATGGTATGTATCTCTGTTCAAACTTTCAACCAATTGCACTTGCAAAAGCACTTTTTGGATTTAGACCCAGATCTAGCTTTCTCTTTCTGTTTTATATTAAGTAGCTTGGTGTCAGATGTGGAGCAACTCAGAATATGATCCATAGTATTTCTATTTAACTCACACAAGTGGAGGGTGAGATACCTAATTTTAATCCCTTTTTCACTTCTGTTTGATATCACCTTTTAATTTGCCTAGGTAAGAGTCATGCAGTACTCCAAGCAATATTATTACTGTCAATATGATAAAGTTATAGACATACTAAAAAATGAAGAGTACATTCGAACTACGTTTCCCTATAAATATCATGGATCATTACTTTTCATAGTGTTTTTTCCACAACGTTTTGACAAATGCTAACTTGCCGTAATTTTAGATTGTGCCAGATGTAATACTCATTTGTGTTTTTAATATTCCTGATTTTTACTTTCCAGGTACATACTGTTAAAGGGAATAATTTGGGGGCTTGTTCCCCACCTTTACTATAAGAATAAAACCCATTAAAAAGAGATTGCTTGAAGTACAGAAATACAAAGGGAGGCCTATAAGATTTATGTACTATTTCATGAATAATCGCACCGTAAAAATCTTACAGGAATGTAAAAATCCTTGAATTACAATCAGGTTTAATTGTAATTCCTGCTATATTCTTGGTGAAATTAAACGAATTGTATTTCCTCCGTCTTCTCTCTCTTCCATCCAATTCTATAGGCCCTTTTTCCTGCTTGACTAAAACCGACTTTAAAAACTGGAAAATATTACTGAGAGCACTTTCTGTTGCTGTCAAAGTGGCAAGATGTTTCGGTAACATTGATGTGCAAATTGGTCATACAGCTTCATAGCTTGTCAAAAGGCTGTGCTACAGTATTTTTGTTCCAAATAGCATACATAGTGTATGAGTAAAAAATAAACGCATTTAATACAGCACATGGGGGGGGAACAGGCCCCCAAATTATTCCCTTTAACAAATTGAATACATTGGGGGGAGTAGAATTACACTGGAAGAACCCCCAAAAGGCAGGCTCTCCTCCATTCCCCCCCCCCCCCGTAGGTTTTAAAGTCCCAAGCAATCATTTGGTTCCTGCATTTCCTTTTGCTTTCCTCCTTCTTGTTTTTTAAATAAGGAACAAACATTCTAATAGCACAAATGCATTGTAGGATGTTTAATTGTGTTTGCCTTTGTGCATGTTGTAATGATATCCCCCCAACCCCCACTCTGTTGGAAAGCTTTTGATTTAGAAGTTGGTATTTAAGAAGCTGAAGTTAACATCAATTTTATTCTTTATCAGCTTTGGAGACATTAAGGTTTAAAATGAGCTCTGCGCTGAATGCTGATCCAGACCAGCCTCTGGTCTGTGTGAAGTTATGTGTAGGTGGCAGTTAAAAGCTGGAGGCCAAGAACTGGAGAAATTGCAGGTACCAATGTGTCTTTAAGTGACTAAAGGCTGTAGTCCAAAGTCTTCTGGACGAACTGGCACCAGCTGCAGACAGATGGAAAATGTCTGGGCTCCATCACCTTCAAGTCTGTCCCGACAAGGATCTATATATTAGGGTTGGCGAGTGGATAAAGAAGTCAGCAATGGTAGCTGTGTGGTAAGGTGAAAATTGACGTGAGCACCATAGACTGACAGTGCTTTTGATTGATGAAAGGATATTGTTAACAAGCCTTTAAAGTTTCTCATTAATGCTTCCACCACCCCCCACCCACTGAAGCCCCAAAGGAGGGGGGGGGGCTTCATGCAGACCTTTAGATAGATTGCATAGCTTGTGTTATTTAAATACCTTGTTAAATTATTTTATTTAATGCTGCATGTTTGCTTACCATACACTGAATAGCATAGAACCGAGCTAAGTGAACAAAACTTGAATACCCCAGTCCTTTTTAGATGCTGCATGTTAAATAATACGCAGAACTTGCATCTTCAGCATAGGAATTTACACAGCAGGGTTACACCAGAGACCGTCACCATTAGTAGCTGCAGTGTGGCAGCATCACCCAAAGCTGTTGAATGTTGCATTCTAAATAGAGAAGGGGACAGAGTGTTGATGGGCTTGGGGACTGCTCACCTAGGTGATAGCTTTGCAGCCG